TCTCTCTCTCTCTCTCTCTCTCTCTCTCTCTCTCTCTCTCTGCCTGTGCCTGCGTGTCGGCGAGTTTTCGCGTCAATTCGGGCGCGCCATAAGAGGGAGCAAAATTGTTGGGTGATGACACACAGGAGAAAGCGACTGCTCCTCCATTTTAACTGATTTGGGAGACTCGGGGCGGCATGACCAGATTGTAAAGTCCAGCCAACTGGCTATCTGTCTATCCAACGTGCCACATTGGGAAAGGCACACGTGGACGGCGATCGGGCTTAAGCTTGATCGCTCTCTAACACGCTCACAGACGTGACTCCCTTCAAGAGCTTGGACACGCACGCTCCGTATGGAAGTCCGCTGTGTCCTTTGAGCCCCTTGTGGGTCCCTCTGAGTCCCGTCGAGTCCCTTCGAGTCCCTTCGAGTCGCTGGCAGCCCCAAAGTATTCCATCCGGCTGCCTCTTAACTTTTACTGGAAAAGCATCAACTCAGGGCGTTTTTCTATAAAACAAAAAAAAATTTACTGGAAAAATGAAACGGCATGTTGAACACAGCTGTGCGCCTAAGATTCTTAACTGTCACAGTGATAGATTTAGCGTTATCAGGAACAGCAAGAACCGCGGTACACATAACACTCAGTCTGCTGCCAGCGGGAGCAACAAGAGAGGCGAGCATCATGTCCGAGTCACCAGGGGCTGGAACATACCAAGGTCCACCTCGAGGACCACAGGTCGGAGTAAGGAGTCATTCTGGATCTCCATCTCCGTAGTAGTCTACTTCCTGATCCATTGCTGCAAATCAAGATCGTACCCCAGTTCCTCCTTCTCCTCCTCCTCCTCCTTTTCTTGTTCCCCTTCTTCTTCCTCCTCCTCCTCCTCCTCCTCCTCCTCCTCCTCCTCCTCGTCCTTGGTCCTGAATCGTAATTTGATCGGTTTTGAAAGGATCGTCGATAAGAGCGACAGTGGGATCGATGCCCAGAACAACGACTCTCCCGCCGGGTCAATAGTGGCGGCCGCGGAGGCCAACCAGTCGTTCTTACCTCGTTCATCATCTTCGACTTCGAGTGTCGACGAGTTGCGCTCACCTTCGTTGAGCACAGGGCCCTTCACGTCTGTTGGAGGGTGGGAATCCGCCGCACCAGAAGGAGCAGCTCCAGCAGATGGTGGTGGTGGTCCTACTAAATATAGAGCGAATGCTGAGTATGCTCCGCTGAGGTTCAAGATCTCTTATCGTTGCTGCAAGAGAAGGGGTGTGAAGATCTCCGTCCGATTAGACGGCGATGCGCCGTCCGACACCAACGTACTTGTGCTGGGCAGTCCGGCGACTGCAGCCAGAGGGCCTTGGAGAGTGAAATTCGGTCCTCATTGTGTTGCGCCAGTGGGGCTCGACACCCACTTCCGGATGGTGAAGGCTAGGTACGTGGGCAATGCAAACCACGTTTACAGTGAGCCCTGGAGCCAAATGAGCCAGCCTGGGGAGCATGGGTTTGGTACCCTTGGTGACGGTGGTGGTGGTGGTGGTGGTGGTCAGCTGGGCAAGTGCCCGTTTCTCTACTTTCAAGTCGTGTTTGCAGGAAGGAACAGAGGTGGGCATTGTGCCACGTCGCAGGTCTTCTTCTAAGCCTAAGAGGAGTCTATCTTTCCCAGGGCCTATGTGTAAAGTGGCTACGACGGTGGCTGTGGGCCTTGTGGTCATCCTCCACCTGTTTTTTTTTTTTTTTCCTCTCACCGCCATAGTGAGTGAGAGAGACGGGGTACTGCTGCTGCCTTTGTCTACTTTTCAAGTCGTGTTTGCAGGAAGGAACAGAGGCGGTCCGGGACCGTTCTGCCACGCCGCAGGTGTTCTTCTAGCCTAAGCCTAAGAGGAGTCCCATCTTTCTAAGTTTCTCAACTTCTCAAGGTCAAGTGACTAAGACGGTGGTTGTGGTCATCCTCAACCAGGTCCTGTGTTTCTTTCGTTCCTCCAACGTGACGGTCGTCTTCCATCACTGTGGAGACTGGAGTCTATGGTCATCTTTCGCAAGTCCATCTTTCTACTGTTCTACAGGGGGAGATGGCCTACTGCACCTCACCTCAGCTGCAGTGCAGTCGGTTATGATCAGAACCTGGGCATGATCATGATGCGTTATAATGATGCAATGACTATGTTGCAGGCTTGCAGCATGATAATGGGTGTCATGCATCGCGCTCTCATCATTCTACAGGTAATAACCTCGAGCTGGGCAACGTCGCCCGCTCCTCAGCGAACAGCTGTTCTTTTTTTTTTTTTTTTTCTTTTTTTTTTTTTTTTTTTTTTTTGCACAGCGAACAGATGTTGCCTGCCCTTGTAAATGAACTTGGGTGAACGAAATTGTATATATTTTAAATCGACGTGTTGTCTTCGTGGCAGTCGTCGGTATGCAGCCATTGGCAAACAGACAGAAGAACGGAGACGTATGGTCGTCGCAACATTAGTGTTGTTTTGGCAGACGAAGCAGTACTACTTCGTGGGGGAAGAAGAATCAGCTGGGTGGAGGATACCGGTAGTAGATCAGACGACCACGCCATCCGAGAGTGATTGTCAACAAGTTGGCCGCCATTGAAAGCGGCTGGAATCGTGCGTCCGCCGTGCAGCTGCGGACTTCCTTGATCCTGCGGATTTTTCGTTTTTCTTTTTCTGTTTCTTTTGAAGGCCGGGAGTCCCAGTAGTGAAGTGGATAGGAGCAGCCCTTAGTACTGGAAGGCGCTTCCTCTGTGATGCCTGCACTCTGTGGCATTCGGAGGAGCTTCCTCTGTGATGCCTGCACTCTATGGCATTCAAAGGAGCAGTTTTTTTCGCTTCATCGGGTTGGGTTTGGACTCGAACTTGAATATGTATTTCTGTCACCCTGGCTCCAAGCGATTGAGAGCGGAACCCAAGCCCAGACGGCTAAGTGTTCTCAGGGGGGCACTAACAGAGGTACATGAGGTAGTGGGGGGGTAGGTTTCGGACCAGGGCACTAACAGAGGTACATGAGGGCTTATCTGTTGGGCTGCTCCATCTATTGGTGGGGAGGCGGGGAGGTGGGGAGGTGGGGAGGTGGGGAGGTGGGGAGGTGGTGGTGTAACACAGATATAATTGTTGTTTGTTGTTTCCTAGGGCTGTGGTGTCGCCCTTGGCTGTGGTGATTGTTGTCTCTGCCCAGGGCACCCTTGTCCCATGGAGCTCTGCTGCTACAGTCTTCCCCCGAATACAACGTATGGTCATTATAGCTGAAATGAGACTGAAAGATACCCCAAATTCAGCCGTAATGACTGTACGTTGTATTCGGGGGAAGACTGTAGTGTCCACGGATGGAAAACACCGAAGGCCAGAAGATGTTATTATTGCCTCGGAGTCCTTCTTTTGCAGTGGAACGAACCCCTTATGGAGTGATATCGCTATCTGGAGAAGCAGAGCTGATGCTAGGGGTCCTGATAAGAGTGGGCACCACTAGCATTCTCAGGGAGTCTCCATCTATTGTTGAGGACCAGCACCTGCTGGAAAACGGGTCGACCGTCCACCTAAACATTATAGTTGTTTGTTTGTTTGTTTGAAACAGACACGTGACTTTAATAGCAGCAAGTTGCAGGGCCCATCTACAAGGAAGGAAGTTGAATGTAATTGTCTGACAGTGAATCAATGAGACGTTGACGTCCGTCGTCAGCAGGTGATCCCCTGCACCAGTGGACGGAGCCCACACAAACAAGGGTTAGACATACAGACCTGGGGGGACAGCCCCAGAGCTGAGGGCTAAACTGAAACAACAGGGTGGTACTTGCTACTTTTCGTGCAGAGAAGCCCGGCAGATGTATTTAACTCGGTCGGCAAGGCACAAAAGATTTTTTTTTTTTTTTTTTTCAAGAAGACCAGACTGGGACTACTAGGGGGGGGKGGTATGAGCAGCCCCCCGCAAGTAGGCGCACAGCAAGGCACCGTGACAGAAGTTGTATTGAAGCGTGGCTGAGTACAATTTCAGTACCCTGTAGCCTCACCCCATAAGCTTAAACCAGCACTACTTCCGAGGCACTTTCCTCGGGCGCTGCAAACGCACAGCATACAGCACGCCAGAAGGGAAAAAAAACGGGTCTCAGAAAAGCAACGAACCAGCATGGGCCTCTTTGGCTGCCGTTGCCAGCCATTGTGCTATGGCGGCCGGGCCCCGGAAGCTGCGGCGGCAGGATGCAAGCCTCGATTTCGAAAAAATGTCTGGGAAGCACACTCAGTCTGGTGGTTTAATGCTCCTTCCTTTTCTTTCCTTTCTCTGACAACCCAAGAAGTCCTGGAAAAGGGTGATGATCCTGCCAGTGGGTGGTAAAAACACTGAGGTAGGAGTTCGTAGGACCTTGGGAGTAGGGATGTCCCGGGGACAGTAATGATGAGTAAGGGTGGGAGGGAGTCTCATGGGGGGCCTGTATAAAAAACAACCATCTGGATGATCGAATGGCCAACTACTGAAGGGACTGTCATATGCCTGCCAGTGGTGGCCAGCCTCTACAACAACCTGGACTGTCTTTTAAAAAAACAGAAAGGGAAAAAAAAACAGAAGTCGTGGCTCTTCCCATCTCAGGACGCCGCCCTCCTATTTTCCATCCAAAGAAGACTACCAACAGGTTTCTGTTCTTTTTTTTTTTTTTTGAAACACCCCGCAGAAGGCCCTACTTGAGGAGGTGATACGAAGAGTTGAAGACCCTCCTAAAGTAGGCACCCCCAATTGGGGTGGCTCCAAGCTATTGGTTGGCAGCCACACCTGCTGGAAATAGGGTCTAGCGTCCCGTTTAGAACATGGATTTCCCACAAACCAAACTCCAACGTGGGCTAGCAGGATTCCCTTGTCTCCTGAAGCTGACCGATGTGGACCTTCCTCCTTTTTACTGAAACAGCACTCTGCAACCCAAGAAAACCCCACGAAGGCATTCTATACTTGGCCGGCTTCGGGGACTGGAGGAAGAGGCGAAGAGGGAGAACCCGGACAAGAGGATTATGTGGAGGGAGGGAATAGTATGGGGCGAGGGGGGCAAAGAGTGAGGAAGGGAATAGTATGGGGGAAGGGGGTGGGGAGGGTGGAAGGGAATAATATGGGCGAGGGTGGGGAGTGGGAGGGAAAGAGCACACACCCTCGCACACATCAAAGAGGATTATGACAGCAATGAAGTTTATCAGAAGCAGACCTTCATCAAGTGGTCTACTGCACTAGGTTCGCCCACTCTCTTTCTGCTTGCGACTGGCAGCTTCAGAGATCCAATTTACAGATGCTCATAGCTTTGCTTTCAGTGCTTGCTCCTTTCAGTTGGTTTTGCATTGTCACCATTCTGGCTACTAGCATCTCTCTTCCCATATCTGACTATTTGCCATAGTTTCTAATTTTCTTCCACATGTTTATCCCCGTGCTTCTTCTCATATTGCATGTAATGAGTTTTGCTTACCTCGCTTCCTTCTCCACTAAGTCTTACCTTTTCTCTTCAACCTTATCTTTCTCCTTTCTCCCTCTCGAGCAATTCATAATTTCTGCTCTCGTAACCGCGTTGCCACCGCCTCCTTTCCCCCCCTTGCCTCCCAGTTATCCTATGGAAGCTCCAAAACCATCTCGTGCAGATAATAGTCTCAATTTTTTGGATACAGGAGATTGGGGGGGGGGGGGAAATTATCTGCTTACTAGGCGCTGCATTCGCTGGACGGCCTGAAAAGACAAACACAAGTTGCGGAGGTAGTGAAATGGTGGTGGGGTAAGTGGCAACAAAGCATAAAATGTGGTGGTTTCCGAGATGATACCACTGCCTCGATTCGCTATGGGGCAATTTGTCAATTACTAATGAAGTGCACATATTGCTTGCAGTAATGGTAAAGCCCTATCAGAGGTCGGGGCATCCCTAATCTTTCTATAGTAAGCATAAATCATGATCTTACTTGGAAAAGTCATAACACCACAATCCAATCGATGGGAGTTCATGTTAGCATAAGCGGTTAACGGGTAGCTGAAAATTCAGGAATAAAAATTATGAAGTGAGAGTTTTGGGCAGTCTGAAAATCCCGAATGGTCATGAAGTGGTGAAAGGTCAGAAGACCCTGAAAACCACTTGTTTAGGCAGGCTGCATCCTGAAGTGGTGAAGTGAGAGTTTTTGGCAATTTGAAAATCCTGAATGGTCCTGAAGTGGTGAAAGGTGCGAAGTCCCTGAAAACCAACTGTTTAGGCAGGCTGCATCCTGAAGTGGTGAAGGGTGTTCTGAAGTGGTGAAAGGTCCGAAGACCCTGAACACCACCTGTTTAGGCAGACATCCTGAAGTGGTGAAGGGTGTCTTGAAGTGGTGATGAAAAATACGACAGTTATTAACCTTCTCTTTATGTTAGTTTGAAACAATTGTATTGCCTCAACTAGATTCCAAAGATAAAAAATTCGTTTACAACTTGGAATAAGCATAGGGAAACCATAAAAGATGATGAAGACGGTCGTCACGGTGGTGGTGGTTCTGATGAGTATTTGGGAGTGAGGGAACAAGGCGTGGCGGAAGCCACCCCACATTGAGGAGTGGGGTTTTTGGAGGGTGGGAACATGGGGCGGCCAAGGCTGCTCCACACTAACACAATACACTCGATACTGTGATAACACCCCCAATGACTACAGCCCAGGCAACATGAGGAAGGACAACCATTAGGGTTTAAGGGTTTAACAGAATAGACACAACATCATGATGTAACAAACAAATAGATAATGATAGACAATCAAAAGGTTACAACAACAAACATTATAATTGATAAGTCATAAAAACAGAATGCTGGGCTGCTCGCCCATGCCCTGGGTTTTGTGTAGGACAGTACAGGATAGCCAGTGAGGGGATGTTGGACCCGGTTTCCAGCATGATTTATCTGAGGGTGTCCATTCT